GTACATTCTTGTCTGTTTATCTGTACTTTTACTTAAGTACAGTGTTTGAGTACTTTCTCCACCACTGGTCCTGCCATGTGTTTTTAGCATATTTAGTTTTCAGCTGGTTTCAGTCCTTGTCCCCCCTCCCATCACAGATCCTCCACTACCCCACCTCCACTTTACCAAACTCATGCAACTCAACTGTATCCTGCTTTTAAGCCTGCCYTCTCCCACACCCCAGTGCCAGTTTATCATCAGCCCAGTCTATGATCTACCAGCGTTCTGTTCTTGCCTTGGCTCCTCCACCTCCTTTACGTCCCTTGGTTCCTCGTTCTCAGCCTCTGCTCTTGTCGGATACCTCCAGCCATCTGCTCCCCTGGTAATGATCCTGGCTTTGTTTTTCGGACTCCTGTTTCTTGTCTCACCCCTGCTCAGCACCACAACATCTCTGACTTCCTGATTTACAACTCCCACCTGCCTCCTGGATACAAGAGCTAAGTCTATCCCTCTCAACCTGGTAAAACCTCTGATTACTCTGTGTATGATCCTCGCCTGTACCACAATCCCGAATCTGCCTGTCAGACCAGTTACGTCTCCGAAGTTCGTCGGTGACGTCACTGAGTTACCCCGGAACCAAACAAACACAGACAGTGTTTCCTCACGGAGGCTTCCTGTTAGCACCAGGTTGGTGGCTAGTATTTCATTTTCACTTTGTGTTTTTGCCCAACTCCATCCAGCSACTAATCTGCTTTCTGTGTCCAGATTACCTGGTCCAAGTTCCTGTTTGGTTCCAGCTCCACACCAGCAACTTAAATGAACACTGTAAACCTTTGTCTGTGTTCAGGTATTTATCAGAGCTCAAGTTTAGATTCATATCAGTATACTACATTTGTCTGCATACCACTTTTAAAAGATCTTTAGTTCAAATTTCAAGGGTAATGGGTTATTTTTTGAACATTTTTCACTGCTTGGGTTTTTTTCCTCCTGGTTTGATTTATATATTCATTAGGGTTAACTGGAATTATCAGATCAGCATACTGTGTACACTGCATAATGTGAAACTCAGCATACATTGGTAGAAGAGTAAACTGCTATGCTGTTTTCCACAGCTCCTCAGGTCCCTATTAGAAATCAATGCCTACACAGCATTTATTGACTGCACTCCCAGCAGAATTAACAGACTGGATCACAGCCTAAAGCCTGAAGCCTGAAGCCTGAAGCAGCTGTGAGGGGATTACAAATTGTAAGAAAGGAAAAAATAATTCTATGACACACCTTTTCAACCAGAAGAATAAAAATATATGGCTGTTTCATTTAACCTATGAATGCCAAAACAAAGCTACATGATTCTCAGGCCTTTAAAAATGCAATTACATATACTCTTTAGTCAGTTCRTTTTAGAAAACATTACTGCAGCAGAGGAGGATCCAAGGCTGTAACTTACCGTCAGAAGTTCTTTCTGGAAAGACTTCCTGTCTTTGCTCTCGGCATTGTTGCAGTCCTCTTTCAGGCTCTCCAGCACAGATGCCACCCTCTCTGGCTCGCTGTCCAGCTCAGTGCGGCAGAAATGCGTCAAGGGTAGGTTGACATATCCGAGGGCATCTGCAAATGCTCGCCAGTTGCCGATGTTCTCCATCAGTATAGTTCTTACAGAGGCATAAATGTAGGTAAGGAACTTGCAGGGCTTCAGTATTTGCTCTAAAAACAATGACGTTGTAAGATCAGGCCCACTAAAATAAATGGGTTTTACTTTACCGACCACTAGAACATTCTTAGCATGAACAAGCCCTATTTTGCCCTGATAATATCCAATGTACCATTCCTTTGTCCACAGTTGACCTTTTAGCTTAATTTTCTCCTCACTCAAAAGAGCTACAAAGTCTCCTTTTTTGTACTCGAGCAAGTACTGATTTTTTGTTTGCCGGATTACAGTTTTGATTAATTTCCCAAACTTCAGGTTGCTTATTTTCCTGTCCTGGAAAACTGGGTACTTGGTGGCAACGGCAAGAGGGGACAAAACAATTTTCCCCACTTCCTTCTTCTTCAGAAATCGTCGTTGCACCGATGTCTTTGGGCCTGTCTTGGGTGGTGGTGTTGGTGTTTGTACACAAAACTGAGCCAATATACAATCATGGTCATCTTTAACTTGGATTCTTAAGGTGAAATCAGAAACTTCGTCGGCATTATGTGAGGAAATTATATAAACCAGACGGCTAACTTTCCCTAGTTTAACCTGGAAGCCCCGAACCACTCTGGCCTGCTCACTAGCCTTTACCTCATAGTTAGCCATGTTGGAGTAAACTCCAACATCTAGGTCTTGTGGTTTGGACAATACAAACTGGTGTTTACCCCAAAGCTGAAGCACAACTGGTGGTGCAGACTGTGCCTGTTTTCCAACCTCACTCACCAAAAGTGTCTTTGGGGCACAATCATGGCCAAACATAGCCACAACTGTTTTGAAAGATGGATGAATGTGTTTTGGACCATATACTCCTAAGGTGATCTTTTTAACTACATGCTCCCAAACTGTGGAGTCTGGAGGGATGGACTGGGCCTGGGCCACCACACACACATACATACATGGTTCAAGGTTGTCTAGGCACACTTGAACTGTGTCCTCATACATGTATGCATGGGGAATGGGAGTATAAGGTCCCTCTTTACAGTCACTCCTGACACATAAGACTTTGGTCGTCTGCCTACTCTCCATTTTTACCACAACAGATACTTTCATCTCCAGGGTAATGGTGGTTTTGGTTTCCATGTTGCTGAGTTTGATCTCTACCACGGGACTGACAGTGGTACAGCGATCATTGTTAAGCTCTAGTGGTGGGTCAAGCAGAGCTTTCATTGAGATCTGTTGTGTGTCACCTGGTGCCACGTGGCCCTCGGGTATGTGGATGCTAATGTTGGTGTCAGGTAGTTGAACAGCACCTCCTGAGCTGTCCAAACGGCAAACAATATTTGTCTCCACAGGTTGCGTTTGACCCCAGCCTGGGTTCTGACCCAACAAATCCAGGTCATGGCAAGATCTGGCCAACTTGCGGTGGGTTAGCCATGCAGTGCGGAAATCCTCCCTGCTCTGAAACTGTTCTGGTGCTGGTGCTTTAAGTCCTCCAAAAAAACCAGTGGTGGACTGAGGGGTATTTGTCTGAGCCTGAAGAATGGACAGTTCAGACAAACTGTACGAACGTTTGCTTCTAAAAAACGGGTTGTCCCTTTGTAATGTTTGTCCTGAACTCACAGTGGGACTAAGAGGGTTCAAGTTAAAAATACCACCACTAAAATCATTGTCTGCAGTGTTTCTGGTAGAACTGGGTGTAGAGAGTGTATCAAACAGAAGAAGATCAACAGATTTATCATTGCTGTTCTGATCAAGTGAACTCTGACGTCCATGTAGAAAAGGGTTTGTAGAGGTATGGGTTGTTGCAAAAGGATTTCCATTTTGGTAGGAGGTTGGTTTCAAAATCACTCCTGTCCATTCTCCCAAAAGATCCATTTCTTTGGCTGCCTCCTCATTATTGTCTCCCACAGTGTCAATCATCCCACTGTCACTGAAAGATGAGTCTCTATAGTTTATAGGCTGCACATACGCTGCTGGGATATAACCCATCTCTGTGTTGTTGTGGGCATACCACCACTCTCCACCCGACGAATCAAGAACATAAAGGCGGTCTCCTTTAGAGAACTTCAGAGTGGTGAAACTAGATGGGCAATAGTCCTTGATGGCAACAACTTCCCTGGCAGCAACAAAGGAGGCAGTGGCATCCAGTCGTAAGGCACTGGGAGAAGGCACTGAAAAAGACAGAACCATGTCAGGTATAGGCAGATGATAAAAAAATTTCTAATCATTTTTTTCACGTGTACAAATGCATTAAATTAATGTCAACCATGAGTGAACCACTAATTGCTACACAGAAGATGAAAAACAGATGTTCTTTTTCCTGTTGCCTTTTTTTTTTTTTTACTACTGGGGTTGTTTGCCAGAGGAGTGATACCCATGTTTCTGGTTAATGTAATGCTTTTTTGAAACACACTAAAAAAGGTTAGCACATCCATCGCTGAAATAAACAACCTAATACAGGCTCACAACAGAGGCTAAAATCCTCAAGCTAAATTTACTTATAAGTCTTTCAGTTGCTTGCCGATTAGCCCAAATTAAAAATTTGTCAGGAACACGGATATTGATTTTAAACACTAAACAGTAGCACAACTACTTGTGTTCTCCTACCATTATGTGTATCTCTGAAATCAAAATACCAATAAAATAATATATTATGGCAATAAATAATGCTAAAATTTAAAAAGCAGAGGTGGAAGTTAATTTTTTAATTAATGTTATATATTTCTGTGCTGTAGTGTAAAAGTTTTGTTTCAATATTGCGCTGCCATTAAATTGTGGTATTTTTTCTCAACTGTTTCATACAGTCACAAACTCCTGCCGACATGTCTTGAGTCTCTGTTAGAAAAAGCACTCTCACTTCCACATGTTCAACTCAA